GGGAGAGGAGGGAGGGGGGGTAGAACAGAGGGAGAGGAGGGAGGGAGGGTAGAACAGAGGGAGAGGAGGGAGGGAGGGTAGATGTCGAGGGTAGCAGGGAGAGAGGTAAGAGCAGATGGACAGGAGGGGGGGGGAAGGGTGGGGGACAAGGATACGAGCAGGAACAGGGACGGGGAAAGTGCGGGAGGAGGAGACGACTGGTGTGGCTTCTCGACGTATGGAGGTGGTGGGGGCAGTTCGATTGTATTGAGAGAACTTCTTGAGGATGAGGAGTAGGAGGAGTAGGAGGAGTAGGAGGAGGAGGTGGAGAAAGGCTCGAACGGCTGGAGCAGCATCGCTGGTTCCTTGCGGAGCAGACCGCCCTTGTCCATGGACGATGCATGGACGACCCAAGTTTGCTGATCTCTTCACAGTCCACTAGACGATGTCCGTCATCTAAGTCAGAGAGGAGGAGGAAGAGGAGTCAGCATTGAAGTCAGCCCTTCCCCTCCTGCACACAGCATCTTTCTTCCCTTCACACGGCATCACCTGCATCGGCTCATACTGAGGGGCAGGCTCATCATCAGAGTCAGCCTCCTTCTTCACGGCGCCATACCTTCCCCCGAGCAGGTTCGACCTTCAAGAGACCCGTTAGTAGGCGAGGGATCAAGCCTGAGCTTGCAGCAGCTTACTGCTTCTTTGCTTTCTTCAGCTTCTTGTTCTCAGCTTTCGCAATGAAGTAAGTCCCGACCTACCGGCCTCCACGTCACTCCCCCTCCTCCTCCTCCCATCCCTCTCGCTCGTCACCGCTGTAATACAGATCACAGTTCCTCCGATGCACCCCACGATACCGATCGCATTGCTCCATGCTGTAGGTGGGCATGGCAGCATGTCAGGCGCACCATTCCTTTCCCCTCCCACTCCTCGTCCTCGTCTTCACCAGTCTTCGGATCTTTGGCCTTGATCCACTGCGTCAACGCCTTAGCCACGGGCTTCGCCTTCTCGTCCTTCTGGTTCTTCGCCACAAGCTTGTTCAGGCCCAGCGCCGACCCGAAGTGCTTCATCACTCCGTAAGTCCCTCCGACGTTGCCGACGCTTCCATCTGACTTGTTCCTCAACACCACAACTCACTAGGAACGTCCCCTTACCCATCGACAGCCCAGGCTCGTCGTCGTCGTCGTCGTCGTTGGTCCCCAGGCTTGATGGTCCAGCGCGAGAGGAGACTGTCGGATGCAGCTCCGGCGTCGATGACCTGCAGTCAACCATGCAGTCAACATCAAGTTTCTAGTCCAGAGCGCGCGTGTCTTGGAGGTTCGCACCCGTGCACAGGAGAAGGAGCTGAATGGACAACAGACGAGATATGCTGATGAGGCCATGTAAGCTTGACATCGCTCTCTAGTCATCACATGCTTGCCTGGGTGATCTTGTCTTGAGCTATCTTGTGCAGCTGGGCCTTAGCATCTGTGCACAGATCAGCATGTCTGACACAGAAGCGTCTCTAAAATGCACCATCGGTTCCCGACGCGAGTCCCAAGGAAGCAACCAGCAGCAGCACAACCCAGGAGGTGGTTGACATGAGCTGCACACGAACGAGCATCACGAGAGGGATCACTGTGAAGGTGTGCAGCAAATCTTCTTCGGTGAGTGCTGTCATTGGAACCACACTACCACCCCCTCTCGGTCTCGTAGGCTCACTCCATGAACCTCCATCGACGTTCAATCCAGCTTCTGACTGATTCCGCGCTATTGCTATAATTTCGTCTCTGTCTCTACCTCCCTTTCTCTGTCCCAACCTTCCAGTCCCCGCCCTTCTTCCTTTCCACCTCTCCCATTAATGATATTCCGTTCCTACCCTTCGCTTGCCGTCTATCCTTCCTCTCTCCCCATACTGCACCCTCTTCCTCGAGCCCACCAACTCCTCGCTCTCTGCCTCGTCGTCTGCATGAAATTCAGCTAATTTGGTCCAAAATCCTCCTGGAAGTGAACCACCCCTACCCCCTATGGGAATCTCACAACCCCCAAACTTTGTACCCACCCTCCCAATGATACAGATCAGGCTTCAATGTTTGAGAGGTCGAGTACCCCTCATATCCGATCCTAACCCCCACCCTGAACTGCAGTAGGTATCTACTACCCCCTTCCAAAGATACTGAGCTCCGTTGCCCTCCGGGGCCCGGTACGATCCGGCGGCCGGCCCCGTCCGGGCTGGTCGGGTGCCGCAGTACGGTGCCCGGCCGGGCCGGGCCCGGTGCCATCAAGCCTCCTAGTCGAGGAGGCTTGACCCTGACACTGTCGCACAGGCCAAACGGCGAGAAGAGAAAAGACAGCGAGAACCAAACCCAATCCGAGTCCCGCCGACTGCCGCGTCCGATCCCGACAGTGTCCTGCGCGCAGTTAAGTGAAGGTATCAGTTAAGTTTGGGGGACAGCAGTCGGCACCGCGGCAGGACTCCCCGGATTGGGTTTGGTTCTCGCTGTCTTTTCTCTTCTCGCCGTTTGGCCTGTGCGACAGTGTCAGGGTCAAGCCTCCTCGTCTCTCCTGATTGTCCTCGTACTGCTTTTTAACTTAACTTTGAGTAAAGGAAGTTTTTTGAAAGTGAACGTACCCGGCGACGCCGTCCGAAACTACCCGTTCAGTAGCCTAATAGTTTAACTTAACTTTGAGTACGTCAATCATCTCTAAATGAGTTCAGTAGTATAGTTTAACTTAAGGCTTTGAGTAATCGATGATCTAAATGACTACTGACTAGTGGTTGCCGGGCTCGTGACCCTGGCCGGGCACTGATAGAAGTGACCACACTCCTCATAAAAATGTACCCCCCTTTTTCCCCACTTGTACCCCACCTTCAGTGAGAGTCGTCCTCCCTGCGGGCGGTGAAAGTTTGCTAGCAGAAACTTACAAGGAACGGAGTACCCCACCCCAGGTGACTCCTTGCGGGAGGTCACACCCGATCCTATGACCCCTGCCTTTCTCTGCTACAACCACCCCTTTTTCCCCTACAAGTGGTACCCCACCCATCCCTTAGTGAGCCCCGCGTGTCATCCGAAAGGGGACTGGGAATTGGGGGAACGAACATTCCCCATCATCTCCCACCCCACCCATGGAAGAAGCACTGTCACTGCATGACCCCTTCGTGAATCAGAATAACCGGTATTTTCAATTGAGAAAAGTAGGGGTTGTCTCTAGTATTTATGGAACCCCTACCTCAATCAAACGCTACCCCACCCTTCAGATGTCAAATTTTACGCTGGCAAGCTCTGCTCCGTTCTATCACAAGAATCTTGACAACCCCATGTTGTTTCAACAACCCCTACCCCCTATTATACCTGACAAATACCCACAATTCCCCCAAGAATCCTTCTTTTGATGTACCCCTACCCCCACAAATATCCCAGTAGTACCCCTACCTATCACTTTCCCCAATCGGACCCACGTTCCTCTATGTGCTGTTGGGGGGTAGTGAAGTTTGTCCTCGATCTGAACAATCCCCCAAAATACCACCCCTACCCCTCCATTCTAGATCCCTGGAGGGGGTGAGGGTGTAGACACATTCCCATCCCTTGCCTTGTGCCTCCTCCTCGCCTGCTGCATCGAGCTCGTGCGACTCGTTTGCTCTCCTGCGATCTTCCACCTCTTCCTCTTGCCAACGACCTCTTGGGCTCCATCTCCAGATCCTTGGCCGGACATCACACAGCAGGAAGCTTGCTCAGTGGCTGATCTGTTCAGGTCGACAAGAGCCAATTTCGTATTCTTACTGCCCAGTAACCCTGTCTGCACTGCCCGAGACTTTAGTGCAGCCAAGACTCTCGAGGACGAACTCAAGTCCGGCAAAGGACCTTGGAACAGGCATTGGATTGTTGGTAGTTCATACAAGTCACTGGGTCTTTGAATTGCAGTGAGCCCTTCCATCAACCTCCGTACGTACTGAGATGGGCCGTCAATCGTTTGCCTAGCCGACCCTATCAGATCGTTTCTCATCAACTCCCATCTCTCTTAGAACCCTTTGAGCCTTGAAAGTACCAGCCAACCTCAGCCGAACAAGCGCGATGGAGGAATTCACCTTCATGTCAAACCATACCATTGGCGACCTCTATCGCCGATCGGGGGGTGGGAGCTCAGATTCTACTCGTACGCCTGCTGAGATTGCTCGAACATGGGCAGCGTTCTCGGTCGTGACTCTAGCCTCTAAGTTGGTCGGGCCCTACTTCCCTCTCGTCGGCCTCCCCCTCATCACCGGGTACATCGTGGTTGGCGCCATTATCGGACCTTTTTCCTTGAAGATCATCACGCAGGAGGAGGTGGCTAGCCTTGCCTGGATCAACATGTTTGCGCTCGCGTACATCTCCACCTCTGCTGGAGCCGAGCTGCACATCCACGAGCTGAAGCCGCTCTTCAAGGGGTTGGTGGCGCAGACGACGGCCATTGCCTTCTTCACCTTCGCTCTCTGCACGACAGTCGTCGGCCTGCTGTCGTCGTCGAGCATGCTGTCGTGGATCAGCGGCTATCCCAGTGACTGCAGGTGGGCTGTGGCGATGGTCATGGCCTCCATCTGCATAGCGAGAAGCCCGGCCACGGCCATTGCGATCGTCAAGGAGTTGCGGTGCAAGGGGACGATGACGTCGACGATGCTGGGCATCACCGTGCTATCGGACCTGTTCGTCCTCATCTCTGTCACTATCACAGTCTCCTACGCGGGCTCTTCATGCAAGGGGCTGCCGTTCGAGGGATCTTCCTTGGGGATCGTGATCGCGATGATCGTAGTCTCCCTCATCATCGGCGTCATCATTGGGTACATGTTCATGCTCCTGATGGTCTTCAGCCGGTTCTTCGTCAGGGCCCTCGTCTTTCCCCTCGGCTTCCTCGTCTTCCTCTGCAGTGGCATCTTCGCTGAGGCCGTCGCCAAGCAGCTTCCCGAGGACAAGACCCTTCACCTGGAGCCGCTCCTCATGTGCATTGTAGGAGGCTTCGTGTGCGTCAACTTCAGCAGCTTCCACCATCGCTTCTGCGAGGCACTTCAGATCGCTGCTCCCTACATCTTCCTCCCCTTCTTCACCCTTGTCGGTGCCAGCCTCGACCTCGAGACCTTCGTCCGCTCCATCGGCTTCGCTGTCATCGTCGCGGTCGTCCGTGCTGCCTGCATCTTTGCCGGGACCTCGGGAGCAGGGTGGGCCGTTGGGCAGCCGAAGGCGCTGAACCTGACCATCTGGATGACCCTGATCTCTCAGGCCGGGTTCTCTCTCGGTCTCGCTGCTCAAGTGGCGTCCAAGTTCGATACATGGGGGAGGAAGTTCCAGGCCGTCATCATATCTGTGGTGATTGTGAACCAGATTGCCGGGCCCATCCTCTGCAAGCTCGCGCTCCGATGGTCTGGGGAGACGGGGAGAGCGTCGGGGAACGAGGCGCAGGACGAGGCAGAGGCCGACCCGCACGCGGTGCACTTCTCGGATCGCAACAAGGCGCTCATTGTCGGGTGCACGCCCATGTCAAAGGCGCTGTCGATCACGCTGCTGAAGGAGAGGTGGGGAGTCGTCATGCTGACGTCGGACGAGAAGGAGATGCACAGCGTCAGGGAAGTGATCAACGAGTGGGCGGTAAGAGCGAAATATTCCTCCCTCCTCCTCCTCCTCCTCCTCCTCTATCTTGCTGTCCTCCTCCTCCTCCTCTGTCTTGCTGACTTGACTACTACAGGAGGAGGTCAGGACCGAGGAGATCAGCTGCGCCCTTCAGAGCGGGCTCGAACCCCCGCCTGCTCCCGCCGTCGCCATCGAGGACAACTTTCACGCCATTGCCATGAGCATGGACCTGGAGGAGGAGCTCTTCAAGAAGCAGACCTCCATCAGTGGCGAGTCCAGCACGTCTTCAGCTCCCACCGACGTCAAGATCGTAGTCTCTAAGGGAGGAAACAGCCCTCGCGTCTCCAAGGAGTTCCAGGAAACCCCAGCTGATACTCCACCTGGTAGCCCACCCATCTCCCCGCGCAAAGTTATGCCAACGGTGGAGCTGGCAGGAGAGGGGAAGCAATGGAAGTCAGAGAAGGTGGAGACGAAGGGTTATGAGCAGCTCGAGTGCACCATGGATAGCACGTGCTACTTAGAACGCTGCTCGGAGCTGTTCCAGCTCATGGACAGGATGGAGGGGCTCCAGAGCATCGTGCTGGCGATGGACAACGACCTGAACGCGCTGGCGCTGCTGGAGTCGCTGCAGGAGTTCTTGACGGAGAAGGGGAAGACGATCAAAATCTGCGTGCTGATGAAGGAGCTGCGCTGGACGGAGGCGTTTGCGATCCTAGACGCGATCCCCATCCACGACTTCGTCTCCCAGAACCGGCTGGCGGCGTCGGCAGTGACGGCACAGCTGAACAAGGACGTCGTGCTCCTGCCCGCCTGCACCTCCAACGAGCAGATGAGCCAAGCCTACTTCGGCCTCTTCGACGGGTCCCAGCTGTCCCGGTGCTGCCCGGCAGGAAGAGCGTGAGTGTTCTCCCCTCCCCTCCCTCCCCTTCGCTGACTCTCCTGCCCCCGCAGTCTCAGGATCGACCACGAGATCGGCCAGTCCGGCGAGAACCCCAGCACGAAGCTCCTGACGGTCCTGCGCACGCGCATGACGGAGAGGAGGACGAAGCTCTCCGGAGGTAGGATGCTCCGTGCCATCGAGACCTGGATGCAGCGCAACCTGCCCTCCCCAGCTGTCTCGCCCATGATCCGCCCCTCCTTCTCCTCCTTCCCCGGCAGCCCCTCCACGCTCTCCATCAAGCCCAAGGAGATGCCGGAGGAGATCAGGATGGAGGTTGGGGAGGCGAACTCATCGGCTGACATAGCGATCACGGCCGTGACGGTTGAGATGTCGCAGCCTCCCCAGCTGCATACTGTGCACAAGGACCACATCTCCTAGAGCCCAGCTCGAGCTCAGCAGGCGGTCATTGATCTGCAGGAGAGGTTCTCGGTAGATATCTGTTTAAATGAATGAAAAGACTCTGTTATGTGACTTTGCGGCCTTCAATCCCAACACAGGGTGAAAATTAGCTGGAGGTCAGCTAGGGTTAGCCCAGCTAGTGATGGCTGCCGTTGCTCTGCAGGCGGGTGGCGAGGATTTCTTTCCGCTTCTTGTCGATCTGTAGAGATGTCATGGCGCGACCAAGACAGTGGGGAGGGCGGGAGGAGATGGGTAATCCAGGAGGAAGAGCAGAGCAGAAGTGGGAAGGCAAGGGAAGGGGAGAGGGGAGGGAGGCAGGGGAGGCAGGGGAGGAGGCAGCGGGTCACCTGGTACGTCCAGTCATCCTCCTCTGGGTTCCTAAAGGTGAGGCGGTACTCCAGCTCCTCGATGTCCATCTGACGTCGAGGTCAGGGTCAGCTGGCAACGCGGAGATTTCTCAGCTCCTTATACCCCCTCCGCGATCTCCATGATGGTCGCTAGGACTGTCCTCGAGAAGTTGGGCTTCTTCTTGTCAGGTCTGGACCCAGCAGGTCAGTCAGCAGGCCCACCGGCCCGAGCCCAGCTCTGCACCCAACTCAACAGACCTGGGCATCTTGTAGATCCAGGCGCCCTGGTCGGCGCAGTACTCCCACTCGGTGATCTACAGGGAGGAAAGTTAACAAGAGGAGAGGCGTGGGGAACTGGAGCAAGAGGAGGAGATGGGAACGAGTGGCACAAGGGGAGGAGGGTAGGAGGAGGAGGGTAGGAGGAGAGCAAGAGGAGGAGAGGAGAGCGAGAGGACGGGAGGGGCGGTGTTGCTGCATCATCAACCAGGCTGCTCTGATGCCCGAGGTCGCCCAGCAGTCTGTACTTCTCTTCCTTCCCTGCCCAACAGCTCCCCATCAGCGACGCAGCGCAAGCGCACGCGAGTTTCTTGCCGAGGTGAATGTGGTCGGTGAAATCGACGCGGTCGGCCCCTTGCTGCAACACAGCAGGTTCAGGTGGGGGGAGAAGAGGGGAGGGAGGGAGGGAGGGAGGGAGGGAGGGAGGGAGGGAGGAAGGGAGGGAGGGAGGGAAGGGAGGGAGGGAGGGACCGAAGGCGAGGGAGGCGAGGTGGGGAAGGGAGGTTAAGGCGAGGGAGGTGGGAAGGAGGAAGGGAGGAGGAGGGAGGGA